AGGTGCGCAACCGTTGTCGCAGAAGTTCGAAAAAGTTGCTCGCAAAAGCCCGTTTGACAGAAATGTTTAAAAAGTGTTGGGTTTCCTACGAATCCGCAAGAGCGCGCGGGATGAGATTTTGACATTTTTTTGTTGAAAAACCATTGGTTTTTTGATGTTTTTATGTTAAAATCGCTCCGAACACTAAGCTTTTGGAAGGATTTCGTCTTGCGCGCGCGAATGTCCACTTTACCTTATTTTTTGCAAGGGATTCTTGAAATTTGATTATATTAGAACAAGAAATGTCATTTTATAGTGTTTTTTGCAAGGGAAAGCGGGGGGGAACAAAACAACCGGATCTTGATCACATCGAATTACCTGAGGCTTCCTCACGAAAATGATGAAAATGTAGCTGCGGCCTAGGCGGCGCAGGGGGGCCGTGCACCAGGGGTCCCAACAATAATTATTCTTTAGAATTAATAATGTTCAACAACAACAACAACAACAACAATTACTAGCACGTGGGGACACTCCGTTCTCACCAGTGCCAGGGTTTTCATAGGAGGCGGGCAATACCCCCACTTTGTGGGGGGGCCGGTTCAAGCTCTACCAAATTTCCAAACGACTCTTCGCCACCACCCACACCCAGCTTCCCGCCCTATGACGTTCGGACACTTCACTTCGTGGCATGCGGACGACCGTGGCTACTATTCAGGGCCCCGCGGCCGACGACGACGGCGTGCGCGCGCGAAGAAAAAACGAATGTGTCCCGCATGGTATTATTTGACAGGGATGATGGCCCTGGCAGGTGCGCAACCGTTGTTGCAGAAGTTCGAAAAAGTTGCTCGCAAAAGCCCGTTTGACAGAAATGTTTAAAAAGTGTTGGGTTTCCTACGAATCCGCAAGAGCGCGCGGGATGAAATTTTGACATTTTTTTTTTTTTTTTTTTTTTTTTTTTTTTTTATTTTTATAAAAAAAACCATTGGGTTTTTTTCATGTTTTTATGTGAAAATCGTTACGAAGACTAAGGTTTTGGAATGGTTTCGTCTTGCGCGCGCGAATGTGCACTTCGTGTCATTTTTTGCAAGGGATTCTTGAAGTTTGGATATGTTAGAACAAGAAATGTCCACTTTAGCTTATTTTTTGCAAGGGAAAACCAATCGTAACAACACAACCGGATCCGGACCAACCCGTTTTGCCTGAGACTTCCTCACGAAAATGATGAAAACGTGGCTGCGGCCTAGGCGCGGCGGGGGGGCCATGCACCAGGGGTCCCAACAATAATTATTCTTTAGAAGTAATAATGTTCAACAACAACAACAACAACAATAACAAAGACAACGACAACAACAACAACAACGACAACAACAACAACAACAACAACAACACCAACAACAACAACAACGAGAATCCGCACCGCGGAATTCCACTTCAGCCACGCACCCAGGGGCAGTGAATGACCGTTCGGCCCCCTCATTCTGACCTATACGACCACCCTTCGGGTGATAAGGAGGTTGGGGGGGGGAGAGGAACCAACGTCTCACTCGATCGGTTTCACTATCGATCTCACTATCGATCTCAGTATCGGTCTCGCTCGATCGATCTCCCTCGGTCGATCTCACAATCGATCTCACTCGATCTATCCCACAATTGATCTGACTATCGATCTCACAATCGATCTCACAATGGATATCACAATCGATATCACATTCGGTCTCACTACATCACCACATCACCATCAAAATAATCATCATGATCGGGACGCCATAATCAGCATCAACTTCATCATCATCAACATCATCATCATCGGGACACAATCATAATCATCATCATCAACATCAACATCATCATACTCATCATCATCGGGACACCATCATCGTCATCATCATGATCACCAACATAATCATCATGATCATCATCATCTTCATCATCGGGACACCATCAGCATCATCATCATCGTCATCATCATCGACATCATCATCATCATCGGGACACCATCATCATATCGTCATCATCATCATCGTCCTCATCATCATCAGCATCATCATCATCAGCGTCACCATCATTATCATCATCATCGTCATCATCATCAGCATCACCGTCATCATCATCATCATCATCATCATCATCATCATCATCATCATCATCGCGGGACACCGCGGGACACCGGCGGGACACCGCGGGGCACCGCGGGACACCGCGGGACACCGCGGGACACCGGCGGGACGCGGGCCACCGGCCGCCGGAAGGGAGTCATTTGGTCCGGCCGCGCCTCAGCCACACGGGACTTTCGCGGGACACCGGCGGGACACCGCGGGCCACCGGCCGCCCGGAAGGGAGTCATTTGGTCCGGCCGCGCCTCAGCCACAGGAGACTTTCTCTCGCCCGCCCACGCAGCTTCGCCTCGCCCGCACGCACGGCACGCACGAACACGAAACCGAACTCGATTTCCCGGTAGGGGGGCTCTCCGTTCCACTTCGATCTCACCCCCTCACCTCCGACCTCCTCATCTTCCTCTTCCTCTCCCTCTTCCTTCCTTCCTTCCCCGTCCTCTTCCTACTCCTTTCTCCTGCCCCTCCGCCTTCTCCTCCCCCCATCCTCCTCCCCTTTTCCCCTTCCCCCTTCCCGCTTCCCCCTTCCCCTTCCCCCTCCCCCTCCCCCCACACCCCTTGTTCTGTGGCTTTGTTGTTTTCTTGTTCGCTTGAGAATTTGGCACGTGCGCGGAGCTTCGCTTGTGGCTTTGCCGTGTTCTTGGTCTGGACGCGCGCCATTCCAGTCGGCGGAGAGCTCGAGAGATCCATCCACCAAAATTGCCCTCATCCTCAGGAGCGAGAAAAAAAGGACCCCACGTGCTCGTACATGAACTCATGCTGGCTTCGAGAGTGTGCACGAGCCTGGTCTCGCGGACTGGGGGGCCTCGTCCGTGTACGTGGTTGGGCGCGTGCGTCCTTTGTGGGCTCCCGTTCTCGCGCTGGAGGCGCCGAGGGCAACCACGCGCAGGGGAGGGGCGCGAGGACGGAGCCGGGGCGTAGGGAGGGAGGCCTTCCTCCCCCTCGCCTCCCTCCCTCCCTTTCGGTAAAAACCGGCGATTCACGAAGGACGCCTTTCTTCAGGAGTCGGGCCATACCTGTCGACATGCGGCCCTGCTGGAATAGGGCCATTAGCACCAGTGGGCCTGAGCCTGGCCACGGCTTGAGCCTGGGCTTGAGCCTGGCACCGCTGAGCCTGAGCCTCCCTCCCTGCCCTCGCTCCTCCCTCCCTCCCCTCGCTCCTCCCCCCCTTCCCTCCTCTCGCTCCTCCCTCCCTCCCCTCGCTCCTCCCCCCCTCCTTCCCCTCGCTCCTCCCTCCCTCCCCTCGCTCCACACTTGTCAGATACGAGTACTACTCTCCTCTCCCCCTTGTGCCCTTGGTCGGCGCCGAGCCCACATACTGTTATTATTATGTTGTATGGAGATAATTTCTGGGAGGGTTGTCTGGGGGGGTTGTCCGGGGGAGGTTGTCCGGTTCCTCGCGGGGTTGTCCAAGGGCTTGTCCGGGCCGTGCCGGCTTGCCAGCGCACGCACATGCCTTAATCATCCATTTCATCAGAAGCATGGCGCAGCGAGTCAAACCCAGCTGGAAAGGGCGCCTCTCTCCTCCTTCTCCTCTTGTTCGTTCCTCCTCTCGCGTCCTCCCGCTCCCGCTCGCACCTCATTGATCGTTGTACCCCACGAAGCGTGGCTGGCTGGAGTCTGACAGTTGTAGAAGCTACTTCCATCCGCGGGACCAGCGCACAGAGACATGCTCAAAATGAGGAGGTTGTATTGTCATTTTCGCTTAAGACATCATCGTAACGCTGGACTCACGCATGCCCAGATCTGAGGTGTTCTGTCAGGTTTCGCCTGCGATATCCTTGCAATTCTGGGCTCGGAGATGCCGCCCACGAGGTAGGCAGAGATGCCCTGACCTCAGGTGGTCCGAGAGAAGAGAGCCACCGGCGACCCCCAATGCAAGGACAAGGTCTTTCCCCCGCACGTCGGATTCTCGAGGGGATTGTCCGGGGGGTTGTCAACCGGGTTGTCCAGGGGGTTGTCCAGAGGTTGTCCAGGCGCAATCCTACCCAAGTCCTCTTTTGGCTCTTTTGGGCCTCTTCATTCTGCAGCCTTCAGCCTTCTCATCATTCCTCAGCGTCTGGCCACTTTCCCCTGCGACATCCTCGCAACTCTGAGCTCGGGGATGGCATGTCCTGACCTGAGGTTGTCCAGCCAGTCTCGCCTGAGACATCCTCGAAGCTTTGGCTTCTGAGATGCTGCGCGCGAGGTTGTCCAGCCAGTTTTGCCTGAGACAGCCTCGCAACTCTGTGCAAAAGATGCCCTGACCCAAAAATGAGCAGACACAGGAATCCCACGGAATCGGGGGGAAGGTGGCGAATGGTGCTGTCGTTGGAGCGCCGGCCATATCCCTGAACGGGAGTGGTGCTGTCGCCTGAGCGGTGACTGCACGCTCGATTGGGAAGTGAGCTGTCGCCCGAGCACTGGATGTTGCTCTCGCCTGAGCGCCAGCCACATCCCTGATTGAAAAAGGTGCTCTGTCCAGTGCGACGGCCACATCCCTGGTAGGGAACGGTGCTCTCGCTCAAGCGTTGGCAACTCTTACATGCTAGGGCACTGGTGGTCTCCATCTCGGAGGGGTTGTCTGGGTTGTCCGGGGAGTTGCCCAGGCTTTTTTATACGCTTTTTTTCCATCTGTACGACATCGTATGTGTGCGTCGCCCTCCCAGGGGCGGCGCGCCCGCCGCGAAATCTTGAATGCGCGATGGCTGGCGCTTTCTGGCTATACCGCTCGGGAAACGAGATACCACAAGTTGGTTGTTCTCTATGTTCGTGCAGGACGCACGCCTCCGAGTAGGACACATAGCATTAGTATGTCCTTGTGCGTCCCATGACGTTGTCCAGAAGATCTCCCGCCCCCATCCGCGCCCTCCGAGACCCTCCCGTGCCGGCGGCCCCCACCCGGGTCCGGCGCGGCCCTCCGCGCGGCAGGCCCAGGTCCAGGCCCAGGCCCAACAGCCTGCCGCTGGGCCGACGCAGCCAGCGGCGGCGGCGGAGCAGGCCCTCGGCGCCGCGACCCGATGGGCGACGACGACGACGACGACGACGGGGACGACGGCGGCAACGACGACGACGACCACGACGGCGATGACGACTACGACGACGACGACGCCGACGACGACGGTGGCGGCGACGACGGCGACGACGGCGGCGACGACGGCGACGACGGCGACCACGACGACGAGCACGACGACGTCGACGACCACCACGACGACGACGGCGGCGGCGGCGGTGGCGGCTGCTGCGGCAGCGGCGGCGGCGGCGGCGACGACGACCACGACGACGAGCACGACGACGTCGACGACCACCACGACGACGACGGCGGCGGCGGCGGTGGCGGCTGCTGCGGCAGCGGCGGCGGCGGCGGCGACGACGACGACGACGACGGTGGCGACGACGGCGGCGACGACGACCACGACGACGACGGCGACGGCGGCGGCGACGACGACGACGACCATTACGACGAAGACGACTATGACGACGACGACGCCGCCGACGACGACGACGACGGCGGCGACGACGACGACGACGGCGGCTGCTGCGGCAGCGGCGGTGGCGGCGGCGGCGGCGACGACGACGGCGGTGGCGGCGGTTGCTGCTGCGGCGGCGGCGGCGGCGACGACGACGACGGCGGCGGCGGCGGCGGCGGTGGCGGCGGCGACGACGACGACGACAGCGGCAGCGGCGGCGGCGGCAGCGACGACGACGCAGATATCCAACGATACGATTCTCTCGACCGGCATTGTTTTCCCCTGTTTCGGCCCTCGGGGTTGTCCCAGGGGCCCAAGGGCCAGCAAGAGGGGGATCTGAGGCGAAGAGTTACCGCCAGGGAGGCGGTCGGGACATCCTTGGGGCGGCGGAGGCGCCGCCGCCGCCGCCGTCGCCGTCGTCGCCGCCGCCGCCGCCGCAGCAGCCGATGTCGTCGTCGTCGTCGCCGCTGCCGCCGCCGCCGCAGCAGCAGCCGCCGCCGCAGCCGCCGCCGCCGTCGTGGTCGTCGTCGCTTCCGCCGCCGCCGCCGCAGCTCGACGCGCAATAGTCTACTACAGGGAATCACCATCTGCGCGATGGAAGTAAGCGGGGTCTGCGCCGACGTTTACGCGTAAGTTTCCCGCGTAAGGCCGCGCGTAAGCGACCTCGTCTCCGATGTAGCGTGCCGCGCTGGCGTCCTTCGTATGCCGCGGCATAAGGTCGCCATGTAATATTCCGTAAGACCCCTTTCTTTCTCTTCGTCGTTCATCTGGAATCTCAGAATCACGTGTCGACTTTCGCGCAGTCTTGCCAACACCGAAGTCGGGTTGCTACAACATCCGCTCTTGGCGGGTCGGCCTTCGCGCCGTGCCCTGCGTGGGAGTGCCGATATTCCTCTCTCGCAGTCTACCGCCAGAGCCCTGCGAGGTACTAGTTGTGCCCAGGGTTCTCGTTCACTCAGTCTGGTGAGAGCTCCACGAGGTTTTCCGACTCTGGCGGAAGTCTTGTGAAAGCAAGCGCGACGACGGCAGAGAGTTCTCTCGCGGAGGGTCAGCCGAATAGTTCTTTGCGCCCGAATTCCCCTCTAGCTCAGCTTGGCACCAAATGTACACCCTAGCAGCTCTTTGCATTGAATCTCTCACGCCCGAGAACGCGAGGACAATACGCCGACAACTCGAATCAGCCAGTTGAGCTATCAGACATATTTTTCTAATTCCAGCAAGAAGACGGTCCCGGGAAGTCTTTTGATCTACGCATTGCAGTTCCAGCCAATATCATCGCGCCATTCGACGCGTAATGATCTATCCAGCTGCCTGCAGCAAGGCCCGCCACCGTGCCTGCCCAGCATTCTGGGTGGCGTCTGTTCGAGGGGGACAGAGAGACCGTCACTTGTGTCATCTCGTGTCTCCAGGCATGGGAGGACCGTGATGAGGATATTGCGGATTAGGATACTGATGGAGGTGATGTTACAATTGCTGTTGCTGATGACGGTGGTGGTGGAGGTGGTGGTAGTGGTGGTGATGATGACGACGATGATGATGATGATGATGATGATGATGATGATGATGATGATGATGATGATGATGATGAGTAGGAAAGGGAGTAGAGGAGGAGGAGGAGGACGGCGGCGGCGACGACGATGACGATGACGATGACGATGACGTTGTTGTTGTTAGTTTTGGTATTGATGATGATGGTGATGATGATGATGATGATGTTAATGCGATGATGATTATGACCAGGAGAAGGCGTAGGATGAGGATGGCGGCGGCGACGACGATGACGATGATAATCTCTTTGCTGTTGATGATGGTGGTGAAGACGACGGTGGCGATGCAGATGACCATGATGATGCCGATGATGATGATAATGATGATGATGACGATGATGGTGATTATGATGATGATGATGATGCTGTTGCTGCTGATGATGCTGCTGATGATGATGGTGGTGGTGGTGGTGATGATGGTGGTGGTTGTGATGATGATGACGGTGTTGCTGACGATGATGATGATTGCGCTGCTGATGATGATTATCGTGATGATTATGCTGATGGCAATGATGCTGGCGATGCTGATGGTGATGCTGATGCTGATGCTGATGCTGCTGCGGCTCATGATGATGACGAGGATGATGATGATGCTGATGCTGCTAATCATCATGAAGCTGTTCGTGATGATGCTGATGCTGATGGTGATGATGCTGCATGCTAATGCTGATGGTGATGCTGATGCTGATGAATCTGACGATGGTGATTGTGATGGTGACGGTGATGCTGATGATGATTATAATACTGATGATGATGATGATGATGCTGATTATACTGATGATGCTGATGATGCTGCTGATGAAGATGCTGTTGATGCTGATTATGTTGATGCTGATGCTGCTGATGATGATAATGCTGATGCTGATGCTGATGATGATGACGATGACGATGCTGATGATGCTATTGATGATGATGATGCTGATGATCATGATGATGATGATGATGATGATGATGATGCTGATGCTGATGCTGATGCTGATGACAATGCTGATGCTGCTGATGATGCTGATGCTGATGATGATGCTGATGATGATGATTTTGATGATGATGATGATGCTGACGATGCTGATGATGACGCTGATGACGATGCTGACGATGATGATGACGATGATGATGACGATGATGATTATGATGATGCTGATGATGGTGATGCTGGCGATGATGATGGTGGTGAGGCTGATGATGATGATGATGATGATGATGATGACGATGCTGATGCTGATGCTGCTGATAATGATGACTATGATGATGATGCTTATTGATGGTGATGGTGATGGTGATGGTGATGGTGATGGTGATGGTGATGATGCTGATCATGATGCTGATCCTGCTGGGGATGATGATGATGATGATGATGATTCTGATGATGGTGATGATGATGATGATGATGATGATGATGATGATGGTGATGCTGATTCTGATGCTGATGCTGATGCTGATGCTGATTCTGATGCTGTTGCTGATGCTGATGCTGATGATTATGATGATGGTGATGATGATGATGATGATGCTGATGATGCTGATGTTGATGCTGATGCTGATGCTGATGCTGATGCTGATGATGATGCTGCTGCTGATATGATGATGATGATGATGATGATGATGCTGATGATGATGATGATGACGATGACGATGACGATGATGATGATGATGATGATGATGATGATGATGATGATGATGATGATGATCAACCTCGTTTAGGCCGTCTTTGGGCTGTCTTTGCCTCCTGTGAGGTAGTCTTGTGGGGCCGTCTTGGAGCCGTCTTTTGCCGCGCCGAAGGGCTTTCTAAGGCCGTCTTGGGTCCCACGGGAGGTCCTCTTGGGCCGTCTTGGGGCCGTCTTCAATGCATCTTGAGCCATCCTGGAGTTCTTGGGCAGTCTTGAGCTGACGACAGCCCGAAAAGGTGAGAATGTGAAACTCATGCAACAACCAACGGGACATCAATGATTTTGGCTTCTTCGGACCCTGTTGGAGGTCCTTTTGTTGCCATGTTGGGCCCTCTTGGAGGCATCGTGGGCCATTCTGAGTTGATATCCGGTTGCCTTGGGGCAATCTTGGGCCGTCTTCGAGGCACCTTGGGCCATCTTGGTGTCCTTGGTTGCCAGCACAGGCCGTCTTGGAAGCTCGGGACGCACGCACATCCTCATTTTTGACGAGAGATGTAGCTTCGGAGGCCCTGAATCGCTTGAGAGCAGCGCCTGGGAATGCGGGAAGTGCACCGTCCTCGAGCGGGCACGCGTGGAAGGGGGGTTGAGGCATTGGCTGCCATGCTCGAAGTGCACCGTCCTCGAGCGGGCACGAGGGAAGTGGCCTCGGAAAGGAGGCTGTGCACGCAAGAGTCTGCGGCTAGGGAAGGGGGGGACCCTTTACTAGAATTCAGAAAGCCCTAACAGACAAACCTTGACATTTTTTCACGCCTCAACGCGCCAGCGGGCACGGTGGCGGATTGTGCATGTGTAAATGTGTGGGGGAGAAAGAGAGAGAGAGAGAGAGAGAGAGAAAGAGAGAGAGAGAGAGAGAAAGCTGAAAGTACAGTCTGGACTTTCACACACACATTATATATCATATTCTCGCGCACTGTTTTGCAAACCCACATACGTCGAGTCCAAGTCTTCACAACCTTCTTTGTCAGCAGGTCGGCCAAGTGGCTGAGCCAGGCACTCGACTTTCGCTCTCGCTCGGCCTCTCGCCGAAGGCATGCCGGCAGTTTTTCGGGCCCCGAGAGCGCTTCTGGGGCCTCGGGCAAGGCCACGCGATGCACCCGAAGGTGCGCCCAGGTGCGCTTAAGAGCGCCCGGACATTCCGGAAATGCGGACGGAGCCCGTCAGTCGGACTGAGGTCGAGGTCGGTTCGGGGAGGGTTCCCTAACGTTCTTCGTATTTGTTGCAAGTTCCTGTGCAGCCTGGGGGAGGGTACCTTCGGATGCTCTTAAGTTTGGCTGGCGGAGGGTTTCATGTTCTTGAAGGATGTTCTTCTGTCCTGG